GTTTAAATTTCATTGGGGTATTTTAGTGTTAATCACATTTTTTTAAGGTGTTTATTCGCCCCTTAAAAATAAAATCACAAGAATATAAACACCCTCTATAGCTTCAGACCTTAATAATAATTCTTCTCAGTGCAACCCAAGCGAACACAATACTCCAAATTTATAAGCCAAGTAACATTATAAAAGAGACACTATTGAATACACAGAAACCAACAAAACAGCAAGAAAAATGGCGAAACAGGATATACTAAAACATCAAACGAAACAAGTGCAATCCCTATTAGAACAGAACAAAGGACTAAATATATTTAAAAGACATAACACACCTGAGAAAGAGATAACAAAAATAAAAGATGCGAAAAACAACATAGTAGGAGACAGACAACAGATATTAAAAGTTGTGGAATCTTTCTATAGAGATCTGTACGAATCTAAAATAGCAAACACAAGGACAAGAGAAGATAAAATACGAATAGTAAATGCAAACTCAGAAGAAATGCCCGACATAAATATGGAAGAACTGGATAAAGGGTTATCCCAGATGAAAAATGGTAAAGCGGCAGGAGAAGACAACATTCTGCCCGAAATGCTCAAGGAAAGCGATACTAAGACGAGACAAGAACTAGTGAAACTATTCATTAAGTGCCTAACAGAAGAACATATACCCAAAGATTGGGAGAATGCTGTAGTTGTTCTGATCTACAAGAAAGGTGACCCGACTGATCTCGAAAACTACCGGCCGATAAGCTTACTATCACAAATATATAAATTATTCACCAGAATAATCACCAACAGATTAGAGCGAATACTCGAAGTTTACCAACCAAAGGAACAGGCTGGATTCCGAAGCCATTGTAGCACGACAGAACATTTACACACAGTAAGGCAGATGACCGAGAAAGCTACAGAATATAATATAAACCTATGGATGGCTTTTGTCGATTTCCGACAAGCCTTCGACACAGTAGAAATCTGGGCAATAATAAAATCCTACAATGGGAAATCAAAGAATTGAACATACATGGTGAACGCCTGCACAATCTAAGATTTGCCGACAATATTGTACTATTAGCAAAAGACAAACAGGAATAGATAGATATGTTGGAATAACTACAGGATGAGGCGGCAAAAGTAGGATTACACATGAACTACACAAACACCCAGTTTATTAAAAATACACCAGATGCAGACGAAACAATACCGATCCATGACTGCACAATAAAAAATACAGAAACATACATATACCTTGGCCAAGCTATAATACCGGGCAAACAAAATCAAGAAATGGAAATTGATAGGAAAATTAGACTGGGATGGGCGGCTTACGGCAAATTAAAGTACATCTTCAGCATGAATATTGCAATGACTTTGAAATCAAAAGTCTATAACGAGTGTATACTGCCTGTTGTCACGTATGGTTGCGAGACCTGGGTGATAACCAGAAAAATTAAACACAAATTGGAAGTATATCAGAGAGCCATTGGAAGACGAATTTTAGGAATTTCCCTGAGAGACCACAAAACAAATACATGGATAAGGGAAAGAACCAAAGTCTCCGACATAATAAAAAGAATTGGTTCCCTAAAATGGCAATGGGCAGGACACGTGGTCAGACCTACAGGAAACTGGAGCGGGTATATCACTAGATGGAGACCTTGGGAAGAGAGGAGTAGTGTTGGAAGACTTCAACAAAGATGGTACGACGAGATAAAGAAGGTTGCAGGCTTAAATTGGTACCGAGTTGCGCAAAACCGAAGACAATGGTCAAATTTGAAAGAGGCCTATATCCTAAGGATAGAAAACGGCTGAAAATGGAAATTGAACATTATGAAAATTTTACCAGTAAGTACTAGTTAGTATACACAGATGATATTTCCTGATCAATGTCATAATGAAACAACAACACGCCAAATAATTGAAGCTGAAATTATCGCTCCGCTATTAAAAAGCAATTTTGGGATAATCAGTACACGATAAATAATATCCTAGGTTGACACTGAAATTATAGCCAGAAATTGCAATTTGGAAATATATGTAAGGTCCGTTTCACCAGGGTTCATACTTGACCTTGAAACTTGAAAAAAAAAGGGTTGTCGTAGATTAATTCATATGACACATTCAATTTTTTTGACAAATTAAAATGATTTAAGAACCGACGAACGTTTTTGACGTCATTGATTTGTTTCAGTCAATTTTGATTTGTTAAACAAGGAAAGCAAATGCTGGTGGCAAGTACAAACCCTGGCGAAACAAACTTTATATAGGTTTGGAATCAACGGAAAAAAGTAAAATCCTGGTTCAACTATCATCATACTTCCGTTTGTTGAAAATTCGGAAGAATTTAGCGGTTTTAATTTTTAAAATGGAGTAACGCCAATAAATAAAATTAACTTTGGCGGTTTAAGGTCTCTGGCGAGCTATCCATAATTTTATTAAATTGCAGCGGCCCATTAAATGCTTAACTTTTATGCATTTTATAGCATTTTCTAGATATTAATGAACAATTTTAACGAGAGTTAGAATGATGCTCGAAACACCTTCAGGCTTTGTTTTGTTGAAGCATGTTTTTTTTTGTAATTGTGCAAATTGAGTAAAATTGTCGTGGTTAGACTTTTCGAAGTACTTTTAAGACCGTAGAAGTCGTTTTGCAATGATTAATGTATATGAATACAATTACGAAACGCATATGGGAGGAAATGGATAATCGGCACTCACCTATTTTGAAAGGAAGGGTTGTTGGCGAGCGCTCGCTTCCCTCCTTCGTCTCTTCCAATTATTCTGGCACATTGTTTGAAATAGGGCACGAACGCGACCTTGTAAAGGGTGAGACGGTAAGACCGGTGCGTTTGATCGATTTTATGTGACTGGTTGTGATTTCTCACTCCGTTGAGTGATAGAGCTGACCTTCTTCAGGTGGCAGGGCGGTTGACAAGAGTCTAGTCGTAGGAATAAATGAGGATCGCTGCGGTGGGCGGAGAGCTCGTATCGTACCTAATTCGTAATGCTAGTCTTTGTGTTGGTATTTTAGAAGAAACAGAAATATAAATTTTTCATAAGCAAAACTCATACGGCCTGCTGAGAAAGTAAAATAACTTTAGAATATGATTTGAATAAAAAATAAGACTACGTCTTCAACAAAAATAATAGTAAGGAAATTGTGAATTTTAAAGTTGAAAATGGGCATTGTGTGTGGTGTTCCTCTATGTCTTCCTATTTTTTTAAATCTTCGGTATCACCACAAGGAAGTGTGAAAAAAGCTGAAAACTTGCATCTTATTTAACATTAATCTGTGTGCCACGGTGGGAAATAGCTGCAGTGGATTAGCTTTGATACCATTTCGTACAATAGAACGACTAGCATAGTTAACTTTTAAAGTACATAGAGTGCATTAATTCATTCCTAAATTCTGAAGACAGTCAAGCCTTTGAGATCTGACCAAAACTCCTAGATAAAATTGATTTTTGAAAATTTATTTTTAAAATCTTAATTTCCACTCTTAAACGATTTTATACTTTGTAGGACTTCAAAGAGAGGAAGCCTATATCTTTCTATCGCGTGAGTCGTCTATGTTGCACTGACAAGAGCTAACAACAAGCTCGAAACCGGTTTGCAATCAGCTCCAGTACCCAACGATTGAGAATTTGGGTTTCCCCATTGTCTAAAAAAAAAACACACGTATTGTATAAATCTGACAGTGTCAGAGCAGTACAACTCATCGTATGCTAGACGAAACGGAAGTGGTGAATAAATAATACTAAATTAAGCAAAAGAAGGTTTGTATATCGTGCAAAAATTTTATCAAGAATTATCAGTGCAGTGCGCTTTCGGCCTTGGGCCATCATCAGTGCCAACCTGAAAAGTAAGGAAAACCCAACATCAGCACATGAAATGTGGGAGATGTCCCCCTTGAAATTATAATAATTGGTTTTTACTCACTTCGTCAGGTGTATATAAAAGAACTTGAATTGTAAAACAACGGTGCATATGGTTACATAAGTCACAAACTAAAAACATGTATTGTTATTGTTAGGTTAGTGTTCTTTGGTTTATAACCAAGAGTGACACTTGACAGTTTGTCCAAGCATTCGAAGCGCGGGAATTTTTAAATTGTTCAGGAAATCCATGTAAATAAGTTTGTGACTTATGTAACCATGTGCACCGTTGTTTTAAAATTCAAGTTCTTTTATTGTTGTGAAATAACTCACAACACAATATATAAATTTACATTGTTTGTTATGCTTCGGTAATTTAGCATCGACTTTAGATAAAATAACCGTAGTCTTTAACTTCTGCTGAGATAGTCAAATAGACAAAAAAAACTTCAAGGGGAATTTATCTCGCTATTCCTCCTTTCGGCACTTCTCACAGCTAGGTTGTAATCTAATGATACGAAACGCCTTTAAACTCTAATTCTAGTTCAATAGTGCTTTTAAATGTTAAGGTATTTGTATATTTCGCAGTTTATTCAGAAAATAAATTTGCTGATTATTGTTGACACAATTCCTTGGTGCTTTCACCTGGTCCTTCGAAAACAGTAAGTAGAAAATCCCTTGAGCCGCAGTAGAAGTTAACAGCTCCTGGGTACCAGCGACCTGTTTGAATCAACCTGAATAATTCCTCCCCTTTTTGGTCCTTCGAGCCGGATCTTCGAAAGTTCACACCTATATTCTTGGAACTTCCTCAATTGAAGTTCCATTCATGGAAAAATGACTTGAATTTTTGCTTTGGAATCTATAAAGAACACTTGAAGACTTGAAGGAAGTGTCAATAAACGACTGTATAGTATAATACTTAGTCACATAAGCTGAAAAAGTGACGTAAGTACTTAATAGTAAATTTTCACTTTTTGGACGACTGGTATCAATAAACATTTATTTTTTGTTTGTTTTTAACACAATACATAGTAGGTATTTTATTATATAAGTAGCTCTTCCAATTTTCAATCTTCAAATTTCAAATACTTTCACACAAATTGTATGCGTAAATGATTTAAGTAAATTATGGCTGATCCTGAAAGTCTTGTTAAATTGAGGAAAATTGCTAAACCAGGCATCATGAGGGTAGAAACTTGGTTCACTAAACAACAATCTTTCAAATTAGAAGAACGTGTAGTGCAAAAAGAACAGTTAGACAATTCCTTTAAAGAATATTGTGACATTCAAAATAAATTAGAGTTTATAGATGAAACCAAATATTTTAGTGATAGGGAATTGATAGAGGACAAGTCTATAACCTTGCTGCGACATTTTAAAAGCCATATAAATCATGAAACCGCTATTAACCAACAAGTTGCACCCGCTTCTCCCACCAATGCTCCAGCTACAATAATAAACAATACAGCTGTAAAGCTACCAGAAATCAGCATTGCTTCTTTTGACGGCAATGTTAACAAATGGTTAAGCTTTCATGAACTCTTCAACACTCTTATAACTGACAATATTACCCTATCTAATGTTCAAAAATTTATATATCTCAAATCCTATCTTCAAGGTGCACCCCTTAAGTTGATTGACAGCTTGGAAATTGTAGGATCTAACTTTGACATTGCTTTGAAGATTTTATGTGACAGATATGATAATAAATGTTTAATAGTTAATTCTCATTTAAAGGATCTAATAAATGTTCCCGCTTTGGCACGGAATAATGCTCAAAATCTCTGAGAGTTTTTAACTGAAATTAAGAAATGTATTGATACTTTGAATAATTTTCAACTCACAGATAAACAGTTTTCAGATTTAATTCTAATTCAAACGTTTTTGAATAAAATCGATTTTAATTTGAGAAGAGCTTTTGAAACAGAAAGAAATATTAAAGAATATCCTACCTTACTAGAATTTCTTAACTTCATCGAGAAAAAATGTACAATACTGGAAAATCTGACTTCAGAAGAAAACACTCGAGAAAATCCCCGACCATAAATTCTGATTTTTTCTACAGTGATGTATTTCATAAGGCATTAATTATCGGTTCACTTTTTGAAAACATATTTTTGCTGAAACGTGATTTAATTAACATTTTAATCTGAACAATAGTGTATGTGGTGTGAAAAAAAAAATCCTTCTCAATTTTGTATTGTCAACAAAAAGTTTTGTTTACTTCAGGTAGGCTCCTTATCTGGGGAATGGAATTCCAATTATTCTGCACTCATTGATTTTATTATAATTTAAAAATAATTTATAATACTAGACGTCACTGAACGTATAACACAATAGAAGGCAGGACCGGACCCATAGACAAAACGGGCCTTCTGACATTCGAATTCAACATGTCACGTCTGTGTTGTTCTACTTGTCAGAGATCATGCATTTTTAAAGCAAGGCTTGTTCAGGAGGAAGTTTTTGGTTCACCATGTGATCTTTGCAAAAAACATTTTTGTAAAAAATGTGCTGACATTACGACCACCGAAGCACACGCTATTACAGTTTCTCAAAGAAAACTTATATTTTACTGCTCCAAATGCCGAGAAAGTATTAGGGACCTGCCTAACCTTGGAGGGATAGATGAACTACTCAGGAATTCTAGAGAGGCCTCCATAAGGAAAGATGTTTTGATGGAGGAGATGGAGGCTAGATGTGTGGATATCTCTAGAGAATTGCTGGAGTCACAGGAGGAGGTCACGAAATTGAGGGCTGAAAATCGTGCTAAGGACGATCATATCAAAAGACTGAAGCGCCATACCCAGGACTTTGAGGATGAAGCACTTAATGCAGAGGAAAGTTTCCTATCCAGCATGAAACAAAAAAAAGAAGAAGTTAAATCCTTGAAACAGAAAATAATCGAACTAGCTAATATAAACAACTCACATTTGGACGAGCTGAAGAAAGTCAAATCAAAGAATGAACAACTCGAAAGAGATCTTAAGGAACTGTCAGAAATTAGGGACAGCATGCTCACAAGCATAGAAACTCTGACAGCGGAGAACGAACTATACCTTGAGGACCTGAAAAGAACGAAACAAAACGTATTTGAACTCAATAATGTTTTGAGTGAAGAAAGACACACGCAGACTGAGAACTCTGAAACAGCGGAATCTATTCATGGTAGTGGTAGTACAATGGTAATTATTCGAAAACTAGTTGTGTTAACTGATGAATATTGTCGGTACCTTTATGAACCTTTAAAGAAAAAAATTGGCAACAATATCACATTGCAGCTTATATCTAAACACGGTGCGTCTTTCTCAAGTATAAATGTAGACTCTGATTGTTATATTGATGGTCTGACAAGCAACGATTATGTAATGGTTGCAGTTGGCTCCAATAATGAGTCAATTTCATTGCACGATGTTACTCTGTTAGCTAATAAGTGCTTTTATACTAACTTAATTTTTTGTACTTCTCCAGCGCGGTTTGACGGTTCAGGACGGTCTTTCGTTGTTGAGCAACTGAATAATAACTTGAGAAGATATGCTTCAAATTTAAGAATGTCCTCTAACACCATAGGTCTAATTGAGTTATCTAATAAGTTCTATGCTAGGCACTATTGCAGAAATAACTATTTTTTAAATATTTAGATCAGGATTATTAAGGTTGGCGTCTGTGATCAAGAGAACTTTGACTGGTTATTTTAGGAGTATTTCTGACACTTGCAATTTGATACAGCTGACTCAGGGCATAAATTCGGTGGGGACGGATGAGAGTGCCACTGGGGGCTCTCATGTAACTACCTCTACGGAGGGTCATGCCTCGGGAACCAGTGGAGAAGCTTCAAATTCAAATCCTTTTTTAGGCCAGAATTTGTCTTTTCAAAACCCAACCTAAAAAAACATTCAACGAATGCTGGCACATCTTCCTCTTTATTTCTTTTAAATATTCAATCCATAAGATGCAAGGCTGATGAACTTGGTGTGTTGCTTGAGCATCATCAGGGGCCTGATTTTGTTCTTCTAACAGAACACTGGCTTAAGCCAGATGAACCTTTATACATTTCTAACTACGTTGTGATTTCATCGTTTTGTCGGAAAGAATCAACGCACGGAGGTACTATGATTCTTGTGAACGAAAAGACCTATAAAAACCTTTCCTTGATCAAAGTTGTGAAGTATGAGGATTTGTTGGTGGAGAGGGAGTTTGAGTTTTCGATCATTTTTGAGGAGGGTTACAACTTATATATTTTATGGTTGTACAGACCCCCAAGCTCTGACGTTACGATTTTTCTGGACAGATTAGAGTACTTCTTGTCGCAATTCCCATTACATTCTAAAATAGTATTGGCGGGCGATTTGAATATAAATTTTAATGATAAAGACTCAACATCAACTCAGTCGCTACGCAGTGTCTTTAATTCTTTTAATTTGAAAATGCATGTTTCTGAACCCACACGCATTACTCAGCAGTCAGCGACTCTCATTAATTATATCTGCACCAATTTTGATCTTGACTTGGACTGTGTTACGCTGCCTTCTGGACTCTCTGATCATGAGGCGATAGTGGCTCGTTTTCCCTGTCTGGGTCATCAGTGTAGTGAGGGGTCGAGAATGGGTAGAATATTTAGTTCGAGAAATTTCAGAGGTTTTCATGAACAGTGTGCGTTAGTCTCTTGGGAAGACACTCATCAATCTAGGGATCCCTTGACAGCGTTTCATGTGAAATTGAGCCATGTTTTTAATAAGTGTTTTCCTTTAAAAAAATTGAAGTTAAAAACAACAAAACCTTGGATTAGCAAAGGTATAAAAATCTCTGCTACAAATTTAAGATCCCTGCACACTATACGAAAATTTCATCTGGATAATATATTTTTTGTTAATTACTTCAACCGATACAGACGTACATATAGACAATTAATTAAGCATGCTAAGAGAGAATACTATAATCAACGAATAGAGAGAGCGGGCAACAAATCCAAGGAGCAGTGGTCCGTAATTAATAACTTGAGAGGGAAAAATAACTCCCTGCATTTCACGGTACCTATTGAGCCGGATACGTTGAACCAATTTTTCTGCTCTATAGCACATAAGTTAACATCTAACCTATCTAATCGGGTGGATCCTCTTGATTATCTCCGCGATGTGTGGGTTCACGAGGATTTCTGTCTGACTTGTGTTGACATTGATGAGCTGCACAATATCCTTGGCCAAATAAAGAACAAGCATTCAGCTGGGTTTGATGGTGTGTCCGTCAGGATATTGGAATGCTTGCCTTGTGAGGCACTTTCTGCTCTTGTTGATGCCATCAACAATTCTTTCCGAACAGGAGTATTTCCTCTGTGCCTGAAAAAAGCACTTGTAATTCCTTTACATAAGGGGGGTGATTCTGATGATCCCTCCAACTATCGGCCTATTTCTCTCCTAACCACCCTCTCCAAGGTTATCGAGAAGCTTGTAAAATCAAGAAAACTGCACTTCCTCACGACTAATAACCTTATAACACCCAGCCAGTTTGGTTTTCAAGCATCCAAAAACACCAGCGATGCTATATTCTCACTGCTCGAGAATATATATCTTAGTCTGAATGGTCCACTGAAGTCTTGCTTGCTACAGCATGTGTAGCCATCTATAGTTCTCAAAATAGATTATAATTGTTAGACTCGGGAAGTCAAACCTCTTTTATCACAGAAAGTTTAGTTAAAAAACTGAATCTTAACATCTACAATAAATCACCACAAATTTCAGGTATTTCGAGAAGTTGCTCTTTTACAAATAAAATGGTCGACATTGAATTTTTCTTTCTAATTAATTCAAGTAAAGGGTTTAAAATTTCCAGCGCTATCTGAATTATATACCTTCCCAGCACTCTCAATTTTCTTTCAACATACACTCATTAAAAATACCTGAAGGAATTAAATTAGCAGACCCCACTTTTCACAAATCCGCTCAAATAGACATGCTGTTAGGAGCAGATATTTATTTCGAACTGCTGATATATGGATTGGTCAAACTCCGTCATAATCTATAACCTACACTCCAAAATACACATCTCGGGTATATTGTATCAGGAAAATTGTCTCACTCATCTCCTCAACGAAAAAGTCTATATGTTCACTCTCATTTCTTGGACGCTTGTCCGAAGCGTCTCACTCAAATAATCCACTAAGCTCTTTCTCTTCGAACTGTAACGACACAGATATTTTGATCAAGAAATTCTGGGAATGCGAAGACTGTCCTTCGAACTCCTCTTATTTACTCATTTCTTCAGAACAAAAGGCTGAAGAAATATTCACAAAAACTACTCAACGCTTGCCGTGTGGCAGATATCAAGTTAATTTACCTTTGGTAAACCCCAATGAGCATCTCAAGCTCGGGGACTCCTTTTCTCAAGCTAAAAGACGATTCTTCAACCTAGAAAAAAGATTAGAAAAATCTGAAAACCTTTATTCTCAATACAGAAACTTTATTTCTGAATATGTTTCTTTAAATCACGCTAAATATGTTCCACTTTCTTCACATAATGCTCTCTCTGAAATCAAATATTTTTTGGCTCTTCATTGTGTTATACGAGAGGATAATGTCACTACCAAACTTCGAGTTGTGTTCGACGGGTCAATGAAATCATCATCACGAGTTTCGCTTAATGACATAACTCTAAACGGGTATACAGTTCAGCCAGAATTATTCAACATATTGCTCAGGCTCAGAACCTTCAGGTATGTAGTTATAACAGATGTTCAGACAAATTAGAATAAACCCGAACCAAACGTTTTTGCTGAATATTCTCTGGCGAGACTCGCGTAAAGAAGATATTCAGTGTCTCGAGTTTCAAACCGTGACTTATGGGACGAACTGTGCCCCCTTTCTAAGCACTAGATGCTTTACCGCTGTAGCCCAAGAAAACAAGGAAAAGTACCCTCTTGCAAGCGACGCTCTTCTAAATTCATGCTACGTTGATGATATCCTGCATGGCTGCAATGATTACGACACTCTCTTAAAGATCCACAACGAACTAACTGAATATTTGAAATCTGCAGGCATAAATCTTCACAATGGGAGATCCAACAGTCATGAATTTCTCAAGTCAATTTCGGGAATCTCTTCGGACTCTAACTATATATTGGACTCAGAAAACCATACTAATAAAGTATTAGGATTGTCCTGGAATTCCTCAAAAGACAGTTTGTCCATAATTCTTCCTTCTCTAATCCTCAAGGTATCCTATTCTAAACGAGAAGTGCTATCAATAATAGCATCTATATTCGACCCTATTGGCCTAATAACCCCTATCGTGGTAACTGTGAAGATTATTATGCAAAGTATATGGTTATCAAAGGTTGGTTGGGATGACCCAATTCCTGCAGAAATACTTTCTGACTGGAAATTGTTTCTGGAAAGTCTCGAGACCTTATCAAAACTTGAAATACCTAGACATCTTTTTACATCCAAACATATTCAAAGAGTGGAAGTTCATGGTTTCTCAGACGCCAGTCCCAAAGCCTATGGCGCCTGTGTATATCTCCGTGTTTTATACGAAAATAATTCAGTTAAATCTACTCTAATGAGTGCGAAAAGTCGAATTTCGCCATTGAAGATAATTACTCTCCCCAAGCTTGAATTGATGGGTTGTGTTCTTCTCTTTGGTTACAAAAATAATATCAGTACTTAAATGTGATACAAATTTCTGCGAAATAGATTCCGTAATTCTGTGGACAGACTCAGAAATAGTTCTTGCTTGGCTGAAATCGCACCCCTCACGGTGGTCAACATTTGTTGCAAATCGTGTGGCCATGATACAGGATGCGACTTCGGAATTCTCCTGGAAACATGCCAGGTCTAAGCAAAACCCAGCAGACGTTCACTTCCATCAGAACTTTTGAATTGTGCTCTTTGGTGGCATGGACCCCAATTTTTATCCGATCCAAAGTTGAACTTAAATAATTTTCAATTCAATAAACATACAAGAAATCTCCCTGAAGAACGAAAAACTACTTATGTAATCGAAAACTTGTATACTGTACCTACTTAATGATATTTTCTCAAACTTCTCGAAATATACTCGTCTCCAAAGAGTCATAGCTTACTATCTCAGATTTATCAATTCTACAAGAAAATTCTCAAAATGGTTGTTAGCTCCCCTCTCGGTTTCAGAATTGCGAAATGCTGCAACCAAAATAAGTTATGTTATTCAACGCACCTGTTTCAAACAGGAAATAAACAATCTTAAGACCAAAAGTCAAACTTTTAATAAACAGCTTCAAAAATTAAACCCCTTTCTAGACTCTGAAAATATCCTGCGAGTTGGTGGAAGATTGTCAAATGCAAATATCCCGTACCAACAAAAATTTCCCATACTTCTACCGTTTAAAAATCATACAGTACGATTACTTATCAGAAAAGGACATTTGAGGCTCCTACATGCTGGTCCTCAAACTACCCTCTCTAATATTCGGCTTCACTATTGGCCACTAGACGGTCTTCGAGAGGTGAAAAAGATAGTTCACGAATGTCCCACTTGTTATAGATTTAGAACTCGGGAGACTTGTCAAATAATGGCAGACTTGCCAAAAGAAAGAGTAGAAATTTATCTTCCATTTACCAATGTTGGTATTGACTTTGGTGGACCCTTCCCTTATAAAACTTCACTT